TTCTGGTATTGCGTGAGAGGGAAAAGAGCTTCCCTCTCCACTTGACCCATCCCCTGCATCGTTTACTTGCAGCAACCGACCCCCAACAGACTCGCTGCTTCCACAGACCACCTGAGGGAGAGGGCAAAAGCTCTGAAATAGAGAGGAGGAACTTTCTCTGAAATCAGAGGCAGGGAAGGGACGATTGGTTAATGCTGTTAGTGATTGACAGTCACCCCAGTCCAGAGAGATCCCTCCTGGCCACACCTACTAAAAGGCAGCATGCGAGGTTGCCAAATTGCTGAAGTTGCCATCCTGGCCTAATACAGATTTGTCTGAATGGAGGCGCTTCCACTCAGAATGTGGGATTTGGTCTTAACCCACTGCACAGCTCTCATCATCCCCAGGCCATGGCTGTTTATGTAACAAAAAGCATCATATCCCTGGTTTCCTCCGTTGTTGCATTATTTAGACACGGAGGACTCCAGCTGTAAAGAGATTTTAGAGGAAAGGAAAGAGTGTGGAAGCAACAGCAGGGGCGCAGCGTTCCACGCAGAGAAGGGGAGATTAGCCTAAAAATCTAAGCGTCTTTGGGAAGCGTTCTCTTGAGTTTCCAGTGAGCACAAAGCCCTGCTAACGGAGTGAAACGAGACCACGCTGGTGGTGCGAGCATCAGCATTGTGCGAACGGTGATCTCCAGGAAGACATTCCCCCCCCCCAAAAAATGGCAATTCTTGTGCAAGTAAAACATTCCCTTATTACTATGCTGATGCGGTGCAACGCTTCGTGGAAGCACAATTTTTACTAGAATCTGTCGAAGTCTGTTGCTAAAAGCAGTCATGTTTGTCAGCTTCCTGTCTGATCTGTTCAACTGTAAGTAACTGAAACATTTTATTCTTTGTCCTACTAATGTCTCTGAGTGTGCAGCTGAGACTGTAAGTGCCAGTTAAGGAGAAAAGGGGGTGGACTAAATGGGGGAACTAGAAGCTGTTCTGCTCTGGGTATTCCTCCATTTTTTGCTGCACAGCTAGAGGAATTTAACCAGAAACTGAACACTCTGCAACTTTTCCTCCCTCTTCCAAGCCGTCCAATCTTTCCTGGTCTTCTTCATTTTGAGAACTTGAGAGGAAGGAATAGGGGAAGAGCTGCGGCAGAGCGCGGTAGAGTATGATTGCTAGAATAGATGATAGAGCAATTGTAAAATATGCCATAAAATCTCTTCCCCCCCCCCCCAAATGGCAATTCTTGTGCAAGTAAAACACTCCCTTATTACTATGCTGATGTGGTGCAATGTTTCGTGGAAGCACAATATTACTAGAATCTGTCAAAGTTTGTTGCTAAAAGCAGTCATGTTTGTCAGCTTCCTGTCTGATCTGTTCAACTGTAAGTAACTGAAACATTTTATTCTTTGTCCTACTAATGTCTCTGAGCGTGCGGCTGAGACTGTAAGTGCCAGTTAAGGAGAAAAGGGGGTGGACTAAATGGGGGAACTAGAAGCTGTTCTGCTCTGGGTATTCCTCCATTTTTTGCTGCACAGGTAGAGGAATTTAACCAGAAATTGAACACTCTGCAACTTTTCCTCCCTCTTCCAAGCCGTCCAATCTTTCCTGGTCTTCTTCATTTTGAGAACTTGAGAGGAAGGAATAGGGGAAGAGCTGCGGCAGAGCGCGGTAGAGTATGATTGCTAGAATAGATGATAGAGCAATTGTAAAATATGCCATAAAATCTCTAATGCAAGGAGAGAAAGATGCAGGGAACACCAAAACTGATGACGAAAAAACAGGTGTTAGAAACGCTGTCAGTTTAAGCAAAACAAATCAAATGGATTAAAAGAAAAAAGATGCCGTTTCCAAGCTGTTTACTCCTCTCTAAGAAAGAGAAATGCAGGGCTGTTCAGAGTTTGGAAATATTTCCTTGAGGAACGCCCGTTCCCAAAATCCCCAGACAGCCTGATTGGGGCCAGGCTGGGGAGAAGGTGCTGAGAACGAGTCCCACCCACCCTTCCAAAAAAATTTCCCTCCAAGACAACATGGGAGTAAACTCAGTAGCTATTCATAGCCGAGCACTTTGGATACCCTTGATGGTGTTCTAAATGCATTTCTCCCCCCCTGACGTCGCCCCCTTATTTGGTGCGCGACTCGAAAAGCCTCGGCTCTGGGGAGTTGCCCCAGAAATCCTTGCGGGCCAACCCGGACAGGTGCTTTACTGCCACCGTGTCGTTTTAATTTCCTCTTTTTAGTCATGAGAGAAAGACACTCGGCCGCTGGATTTCTGAATAGATCCAGGCAGAGAAACCGTTTGGGGGTTGGTTTGTTTTTTAAATGGTAACCCCTCCCCCCCCAAAAAAACCACACACACAGCCAACAAGAATTTGGGGGTTGGTTTGTTTTTTAAATGGTAAAACCCCCTCCAAAAAAAACAACACACACACACAGCCAGCGAGAACACGGGCCTTCAAAATGAATAAATGAATCCTTACTTCCTGAGAGAGTTAAGTTTCCATCTTGTAGACGGGGGGAATGCTCTGGATGTAGAATATCGTAGCAAAGCTTTGAAAAAAGGTGTCCCATGACGTTCTTGTGGCCTGGGTGGTCAACTACGAGCTGAGCCATTCTACTCTTGGGCAAGGTGTGAGCTAAATGAAGGGTCTTTACTCAAAGAATGCTCGCCAGTGGTTTACTCAACATGCTGAAGATAAATGACATGGCTGACCACATGTGTGTGTGTGTTTGCGCCACTGAACTCTCTCCTGGAATGCAAGCTGTTTGCTGTCTTTATAAAGGACAAGAATGAGGGTCTAAGGAAATGCCCCCAAATTTGGGAACAGACCGGAAAGTGGGTGGGGAAGGTGGCTAATATTTTGGAAACTGAAACTAGGTTTTGAGATGATCTTGTTATTGTTAATAGGCCATTAAGTCACCACCAACTTATAGTGACTCTAGGCATGAGTGATCTGTAAAATGTTTTGATCCGCTCATCTCTTGCAAAGTCAAGGCTGTGGTTTCCTTTAGGGAGTCCGTCCATCTCATATTTGATCTTCCTCTTTTCCTGCTGCCTTCCACCTTTCCCAGCACGAGGGTCTTCCTGCTGCCTTCCACCTTTCCCTGCATGAGGGTCTT